TTCAGCAGAATATTTTCTTTGAATCATTTGTTCAGAAAGTCAGGTTTTAGCTGTACAACACACACAGAAAAGACACTTTCAAAGAAATTTGAGAATAAGCAAGTTAACGGGAGGATGTGTGAGGATTTTTTGTGTCTGCTGGTTTAACTTGCAAAACACGTGGCTTGACGGCCAAGCCAGGTCATTGCAAAGAAACAGAAGCATGATGAGCTGTTTTTCTCCAGCAAGTTTGCTACTGGCTTGTGGGAACAAGCAAGGATACATCCTAATTCCTGAAATTCTATTACCAAATTTCTTAAGTCTCGTTTTCGGTGTTTCTGTTGGAATCTGTATCATCTTTTTTCCCCCAGTTTGCGTGATATTGTTAAAAAAACTACTCCCTCTGGAGGTCGAGTGTGCTTATACCCATAGGTAGTGTCACTGGAGAGATTTTATCTAACCACTAGCGAATCAGCAAGTGTAGGATCAGACCTTTTAGATATGGACAGTGCTCCAAATTTTAAAACTAATTTCAAATGGACTTGCAAATTTTCACAATAGCGTTGTGTTCAGAACAATTTTGAACACTGAAGCATATTGCATTCAAAGCTCTTTGGAAGTGTGAATGTGTGCCTTTTTCACCTTGTCTACTTAAAAACATACTAGGTAAGATTTTTCTGATTTTTAATATGTTAAAAAGCCAATCTGAGAAGCATTCTTAATTCTTGTAAAAGTGATTCCTTATCTAATGGTCTTTAAATTCTTTATCTGAAATCCAAAACTTTCAAATAATTAAGTACACAAAAACCCCCTTGTATTTACCTAGCTTGTTGATGAAGGCTGCCAGATCCCACATTCTCCGTATTCTTTAGATCTAAATCATAAAAAGCAGAGATGAAAAAGGCCAATTACGTTTTGCAAGCCATCAGTCCCAGCAAAGCAGGATTATTTTGTATAGCACTTCTACTAATATTGTTTTTATCCATTGATGAGCTGATACAGGAAAGCCTTTGAGACTCCAAAATCTGCTTGAAGCATAAGTATTTTCATGACTAAGGACCTAAATATAACGATTACATCAGTTACTTTGAGAAAAATTCTTTCCTTGTGGAAAGGATCCATGCAAAGATTCTCTGCATCGTATTGTTTTTATGTGGTGCACTGTGCCTTAGGTTGGCACTCTGTACTCAAATGAAATTTATTCAGCAGGGCAAATAAGAGAGGAAGATGAGATGTCAGCTGATATTTGTTACAAGCATGTTTTAAAGTGACATAACTCTATTATAAAAATTTCTGTGGGCCAGGAGAGCAATTTCATTTCAGAAGGAAATGAGCTATGAACAATCTTTTGTCTCTTGCAGTATGAATGGAAAGAAATAAATGTATTCTTGAGATCAGGCCTGTTAGTGGGACAGGTCATGTTTGTGAGAACTACACACTGTGTAATAAGACCTCTGGTACTTGGCATGAAATGACTTAGTGAAATGTTTTAGACCTCTCACTTGCCATGATCTCTGTGTCATTGTTGAAAGTTCTTTGTCATTTACTAAAATGATTTACAAATTAGATAAGAGTTACAAGCAGGTAGTCACTCTGATTCTGGACAGTGTGGTTTTTCTTTTGAAAAAAGAAAATAGAGTGTAAAATGCATCATAGAAACTAATCGTGCTACATTATTTCTGTGCAGCTATTATCTTCCAAGCAAGTTCTCCAAGTGTGATATTGAAGAGTATCATGAATTTTTAAACAATGGAGGTGGAGCTTGCCTTTTCAACAAACCAACCAAAGTAAGCATTACCTTATTATTGAGTATTATTTCTATCCTATTTCTAATTTAGATGAAACCAAGAAGAATGAAAATAATAATATTAGGAAAAATAACACCTGGTTCTCTCTAAGTTCTAAATTTTCTAGTGACATATGAGTGAAAGTAGCTGATTTTAGTTCATGTGGCTGCTGGGCACCAGACACACTCCTCATTCCCCAGGTGCTGCTCATGTGGTCCCCATCACTGTCACCAGGGTCTGTCGTCCCTTGAACTGCATGGGCTGGGGCAGTAATGTGCCTGGTGACAAATGCTGGGATCATCTTAGCCCTCTGTTAGCTCCTTCCGGGCCAGTACGGGTGACTTTGCACAGCCATGCCTTGTGCTGAACAGCCTCTCAGATAGGATCTGTCAGCGCTCAGTGGCCGGTCCAGCCCTAACCCTTGACACCTTCCTAAGGCTCGGGGGCAGGAGAGCTACAAAAGCATTGGGACCCACTTAAATGACTGAACCAGCCCCTCCAAATTTGCCTTTAAAGTATGAAGTCAGAAGTCTTGCTGTAGGAGAAGTGGGGAATATTTATTCAGACAGTATTTGCCTTTCTTTGCTTCTCTTGTCTCAATTTTAGCCCACTAAACAGGTAGATTCATGTGAAGGGTGCAAAGAGTATGAAATGATTAACTGACACATTTAAGGAGGGCAAATACAAAACCAGGCTAAAGAAACTCCAGCCGAGATGCAAGCACTTCTACAATGGAGAATTTGCAGCGGGGTTTCAGTATATTTCTGCTCCATTTACTGAAGCATGTGTTAAAATATAAAATAATTAGGATAATGATCTTGACTCTCCTTCTATATGTAATCAATGTTATCCTCTATTTAATGGGAGGCTTTCAACAAGCAAAGGAAAGAGACTAAGGGAGACAGACAGTCCAATGTGGGAAAAAAGACTTGGTAGCTGAGGTGGTCACATGTAAAAGATAAAGTCAGTTCTGGAATGATGCACATTCCTCCTGGAGGAACTGAGAAAAAGTGCATCTTCTGACAACCACAAAATTTCAGTACATGTTAGAGAAGGGGAGAGAAGGCATCAAATCTGGATATGCTGAATCTGCTTCTCTCCCAAAGGTCTCCTGTTCATAGAAGCATGTATTATTGAAAGTGGAAGGAAAATTTGGTAATAGGACACAAGATTTCTCATTCTTTAAAATGCATCTGCATTTTAGAAGTTTGCTTTTACTCATCTTAGTAAAGGTGGAGAGAGATATTGGTGGTTTTGTTTCTTTCCTGAGTGAATTGTTTCCATAGCGTAATGTGTGTTACTTGGGCTTATTTTAGTGATTATGTTCATTTACACATTTTTCACTTGGGAAAAAAAAAAACCACAGTTACTCTCCTCGGAGCTTAGTCTGGCAGCATTTAAAACTTTTTCTAATGACATATGGAAATGTGAAAGTTAGATGTAGAAGTCAGGGTGATTTAGATTCTTTTACGTAGTTATTTGGGTTGGCTTAAAGTTATTGTCAATGGATGTCTGTCTAATTCACAAGGCTATCAAAACCAGTTGTTTTCTGGCAAGGATGGTGAAACAAACTTACTTTTACTTTTCAAAAATGTGAAATAAAGGAAAACTGATGTGACAAGGTGCAGCGTTCGACAGTGCTCCACTGTAAGATCAGCTGCGATCCTGAAAATTACATCAATGATTGCTGGAGCATATTGAGCATATGCTCTTTTCAAATGAATATATGAATTCTATGACTTTTGGGGGAAAGGTATCCAATTTGCTTTTCATTTTTTATTTGTTTTTTCTTCTACTTCAAATTTAACTGTCCCTATGTACTGTAGCAAATTGGCACAATGTTTTAAGGCAGGACCTTCTGTAACTGCTATCTACTTGTCACTAGCTAAAGAAATTAAGGTGTCTCAAAAATACGTAGAAAACGAGCAGTTTTAACAACTCTTTAATAACTCCAGAAGATAATTGCTTGCTTACATTCAGTGGTAAATACTATGTATGCATTTCATGCTGCAGTCAAATTTCCATTTGAATTGGGGGATCTAATAAAAGCTGACAGCCTGTGCCATGAGCCTCAGGCTGGTTTGTGGCACAAGGAAGCAGGAAGGGTGATGCTCCATCCTGTGGGCTACTGGCAGAAAGGCAGCAGCTGGAGAGAAATTCATTCTGCACCACGGACGATGTACTTGTGCAGATGGCTCGTAAGCAGAGTGATTTCTGGAATGATCCTAGTTTAATTGGAGAAGTCAGAGGGCAAGCTGCAAAACTTTGGTCTCAGCCTTCTCTTGGCACTCAGATGCCTTATCATTTATGTAATAAAAGCTACTACTGAGTTTTCTTATGCCCAAAGGAAAACAAAAAAATCCCAACATTTTATTTTTTTTTTAAAGAGCTATCCTTAGAATTTTTAGGAAAACAGAAACAGTGAAACTGGAATGAACAGAGTATAAGTGTCCATTAGGAGAGAGCATTAGCATGGATCCTATGTAAAAATTGGTGAATGAGTCTTCCCTCTGGGAAAGTACTGCTACAAATAGATAGATTTAGACATTTTAAGTTACAGTTTAGCTGGGAGCCTGAAGGGAAAAGGGAGGAAGCCTCACCAGCTGTACTTTCTCATCTGCCTATGACACATACTTACGGAAAATTGCTGAAAGTTCCCAACTGTGGTAGATGAAAAGGGAAGGAAAAAAGCATCCAACTACAACAGAAACTGACAAAGAAACCCAGCCTCTCCTCTTTCCATGCATTCCTGAGCCACATGCTACCAAAGGACAATTTTTTATGGCTATCCCTTCTGAAGTTATAATGCAGGCTTCAACCTCGGAGAAGTTGAGCCCTCATCACTTGAATTCCAGAACAACAGCAGTTGCAACTCCTGTCATAATAAAAATATCATGTTGGTTTGCATTTTTTCCTTTATCGTCACACTTTCTCCTGTAAAAATGGCACTCATCCACAGAAGGCGCCATCTGACTCAGCAGTATTGCTGAATTAATTCATAGCATTGTTCATTCTCTGCACGTTTTGTTTATTTTTTCTAGTTTGCTTCTCTCTGAGCATGGGTACTGTTTTTTCAGTTAATGCATTTTGAATGCTAGCTAAAAAACCAGAGTAAATATGTACAGAGTAAATATGACAATGATTCCCTTAGGAGAGATATGCCTTTTGATTTCTGATTTTACCCCATAGCTTCTGGATCCTCCCGAATGTGGCAATGGCTTTGTGGAAGATGGAGAAGAGTGTGACTGTGGGACGATAGCAGTAAGTGCAATGTACTTTAAAATAAAAACTAGGTTCTCCAGGCCTTGGTGCTGCCCGTCACTGCCACTGACATTAAGTGGAGGAAGACAGGCAATGTTAAGATCCTTCATCAAAGGTTTTATCATTTCTTACCTTTTTCCATCATGTTTGACATGATGTGAGTAAGCTTTTTGTTTTATCACTGCATAAATTCCGAAGAGCAATAGTTAGAGCTACCTGTGCAGAATTACGCCTTAAAAGGTGTTAAAGAAAATATTTTCCTAGAAGGGAACATGGCTCTGTTCAGTGTTAAAATGTCAGTATTTACTGATTGACACTGTGAAGTTAGAAAAATTATTTCCTATATTCCATAGGAAACAGCAGCTTCATGCCCCTCAGCGCATGCCTTTATCTTCCTCCAGGTGCCTAAAAGTCTGGTTAAAAATCTATTCAGGTAGCATACTAAGACAAGAAGTAATAAGAAAGCTCATGTGCTTTTCCCATGTATTCTGTTATAAGTGTATGTGTTCCTCAGGAGTGTGCCAGCGAAGGAGGAGAGTGCTGCAATACGTGCACCCTCACGGCGGGTTCCCAGTGCAGCAACGGGCTTTGCTGCCGGAAGTGCCGGGTAAGGGCAGTGACCTTCACTGTGGCGTCCTGGTGGGAACGCGTCCAGGTGTCCACAGGCACCTCAGCTCATGTCCTTTTGCTTGCTGACCTTGTGATTAATTTAAAAATTGGCTGAAAAACAGTTTGTCCGGGAGGTTCTTTGTCTTTTAGGCTTGGCTTCCTGGGGCAGGGACTGTGATCAAATGCAGAGGTGAATTAAAGCCTTCTAGTTTCAGACAAGTTTGGATCGGGTGGAAGTTCCACGAGATTTCTTTAGATGTCCTTGTTTAAACATATACATCTTTACTCCCATGCCGCTCGCAATACCTTACGTGTTGCTTTTGATTTGCCCTGTAAAACTGGATGGGAGAATTGTACCACAGAGAGCCTAAGAGAAGGATATAGTAAAAAAAACCCCACAAAACACATGACTAGCAGAATTATTGGGAAGTGTTCATCTAAAAGACACCTGACTTTGGTTTTAGTTAGGTCTGCTTGTGTGTCCTTATGCTTGGACTGACTGAAATCCTGTTGAGTAAAGAGAATCAAGCCCTACGTAAACTGTAAGGTATTCTTCCTGATACATCAGTAAATAGTAAAAGGGGGTTTAGCCAAGTCTTGACTGTAAGGGAGCCCAGCTAATATGTCTTAAATAGTTGTTTGTGCTCATTTAGTAGTAATGATTATTACTATTAATTTTATTAGAAGTGTAGTGTACTATGTGATATTTTTATCTTTGTCTGTGGACATTTGAGGTTTTAATATTCTTAGGAGGAAATTAGTAATAACTGTGGACCACACTCTTGACTTTGTGCTTATCCTAATGTTAAAAAAAAGAAAAAGCACAGGTTATGCTGGAACAGATCACATTTCACTAAACACTTTGCATTTTTTAATATAATGTAAAAAATTAGCAGGTTGCTCTTGTGGGTGAATTTTGTACAAGTATCCAAGTCACACAGGCACCATGTTAAAGACTTACCAGAAAAAAATTAAGCTTCTGTCTACCTACATTATTTCTGCAATTGAGACAGAGGTTTATCTACATACAGAGTGAAAAGCATGATCCCATGAAGAGAAAGGCAGAGTTTTGCAAAACGCTTGTCCCGAGGTAGTGTTAATCAGGACAACTCGAAAGAGCGTGTATAACAATTCCCAAATTTGGGGTTACCTTCCCCTATAATCTCCTACCTGAAAGCAGAGTGAAGGAGGGATTGCAAACATGGTGAATGTACATCCCAGCATCCTGTAGTATCTCCGACAACAGTCCTGTCTGTCTGCATGTTTCCAGAGACTGGGAGGAAAATGATAAGCCAAAGGCTGAGAAAGCTGTACAGAATTCAGAACATTTATTAATAATTTCTGTTCTACAACAGTAATGGGACATTGTAATGTCTGTAGCGTTTATACTTAGATTTTTGCAGCGTCCTTCATCCCTAGAGAGAAGATCAGGATCACGGTCTCTGTTCTGAAGAGTAAAATTCTTGCAAAAAGGCACAATGACCTGGTCAAGATAACGCTGCAAGTCACTGCAGTGTTGATTTGGTAAACCTCAGAGGTCCCGTGTCCCGGGAGAGTGCCTGTCCTGCTCGGCCCTGCACTTGATGCACTTGGGAGGGGGTGTCTTGTCTCACAGAGTGGTACCGCACGCACCAGTGACTGCTGAAGTGTCTGCACTGGGGAAGGAAAATCTTCCCACTTCAGTCAGCACAGGAATATTTTGCATTTTTAAAATTAAAACTCTAAGGAAGCATTGCATTTAAGGCAAGATGTGGAGAAACCAAGACACTGATTTTCTGTCCTTTTTTTCTTTTTCAGTTTGAACCTAAAGGGGTTTTGTGCCGAGAAGCAGTGAATGATTGTGATATTGCAGAGAACTGCACAGGAAATTCAAGTCAGGTGATTTTTATATTTTCCAAGAGGTGAAAGAAAACTACCTCAGTCACTGTGAATGTTACAATTTTTATACAACTTACTATATAAAACGGTATTAAAATTGCTGATACTGGAAAAAAAACAGCGGGATACTGAAATAATTTTCCACATGACTTTTGTTGTATACTTTTCTTCCATGCTTGTTTGATCTATGATCTATTAGTTATTTTCTCTTCCTATAGTGTTCTCCCAATATTCATAAAATGGATGGATATTCATGTGATAATAAGCAGGTAATTAGCACTTCAATTTGTTTTACATTCTCTCTGCTTTTAAAGATTGGTTTTTGTAGATTTTTGATTTAAGATCATTGGAAGTCACCTGGGATGGTTCTGCTGACATTCCTGCATGTTGAGTGCTAGTTATATTTTGGAGTTTAGCATTTAAATGAACAGAAAGTAGAATCACATATAATTTACCTCAGTACAAAGCATGTGACAAATCTGTGCATTAAACAAATGCATATTTTGGAAAATAAGAGTTATTTGAAACTTCGTATCTTTCTTTCTAGGGTATTTGTTTTGGAGGAAGATGTAAAACCAGGGACCGGCAGTGTAAATATATCTGGGGTGAAAGTGAGTGAATGTTATGGCTTCTAAGTTGGTCATTGCTATTGTGGCTTGGAAGATTATCTTAGCTGAGAAATATTGTGGAAAAGACATACGCAAAACCATTAAAAACAGATCGGACTATATGTCCCTCCACCTCTTGCCTCTTAATTTGTCTTTCCATCCTTTTTTGCAGCATTTTCTCCAGTGTTGGTTAACTTACTGGTGATTATTCTGAAGTTTAACTTCTCCTCAATAACCACCTAGGAAGTCCATACTCATATTGATTTATTTCAGTGGACCAATAAACATCTGGACATTTTTGACCAATAAACCCTGGTCAATCTGAACAAAATCTTAAACTGGTCCTGTGGTGCCAACATAAAACTTCTCAATGAGAACAGTGTGCAGAGTTTACCAGGCCACCTGCAGACCACTGGTGCGACAGTTCACAGACTGGGAAGCTCCGCTTGCTTTAATTGTGCATCACCCTTTCCCAGGACCTGACTTCTTTGAAGTCTTCATCACCTTAAAAGAGATTTGTTTCTGTTTTTAGAAGTGACAGCTGCTGACAGGTACTGCTATGAGAAACTGAACATTGAAGGGACTGAGAAAGGAAACTGTGGAAGAGACAAGGACTCTTGGATACAGTGCAATAAACAGTAAGTTGATCCATTTAGAAAACAACCAATGTGAGATTTTTATGCCTGATGTAGTTCTCTAGCTGTCATGGAGTGGCTCAAAAAAGCCTTTGTACAGAACAGACTTCTCCTGGCCTTCTTCTGCAGATGTTAGTGCTGGAAATTCTGGAGGGAGAGGAATGTTGAGAGGAGATGATCTCTGATAAGAGAGCACCATCTGAGCCTTGGGAGCATTTGGTCCAAAAGTGTTCCTGGTACTTCTGATGAGGCTCAGCAGTGCAGAGGAGAGCAGCTTGAGGTTTCGCATCTCAGCGTGGTTCACCTTGTAGGCTCTGCACTGCATTGCTAAGTTTTCATTGTCTTGTAACCTTCCACATCTTTTTCTGCATGTTGCTGCCTAAACCATTGTTTCACATTCTGTATTTTTACAGTTGATTATTTCTGCCTCTTTCTGAACTTTTTGCCAGTCCTTATCAAACTGCACCCTGTTTTATCAGATGAGTTCTGTACTATGTCAATATCATTTGAATTTTAGTCCTGTCCACAGATGAACAAATGTCCTTTCTCACCTTTCTGTGCAGATTTGATAATCTTACTATGGTTACATTACAATTGCTCAAGTAAAAAAATACTCAGTAATAGGCCAAACAGTGCACACGAGTTGTGAAGTCCTTTCAGTTCAAGTTGAATTAAATTTAGTGTCTCTAGCTCCATTACAAATGTGTCATATGAGAGTTTGTTTAAAGCTAGTACCTATTGCTTCTCTTCTATGGGCCATTTACTGTATCTTTATAGAATATTAAAACTGTATCTTAATAGAATATTAAATCAATTTGCTGTTTTTTGTTCTTGACAGTGTCCTGCTTGCTATTACTCAGAGCATTTTTGATAATACCTCTTAAAAAAGACTGTTCCCAGTCTAAACTTGAAACAAGGCATTATTTATGGAAGTTACTGTCAGGGGAGAAAAGCAAGGAAAACCAAACACCCTACAAAGCAAATGAAGAAAAACCACATTTTTTTGATCATCCATTTTCATTGAATTTTCTCAATGCAGGGATGTGCTTTGTGGATACCTTCTGTGCTCCAATATATCCAGTGTGCCTAGACTTGGAGAACTGGATGGCGAAATCACATCATCAATCTTGCAGTTTGGAAAAGTCTACAATTGCAGGTAACTGAAAATCCTGAAAACAGAACAGACAAAATCAATATCTGTCTTGCATGGAAAAGCAGCTTTCTCATTCCTAAGTGGAGGACAACTGTTTCCGTTATTTTTTTCACCTATTAACAAATAACCATTGTTCTAACTCAGCTTTTGTTAAGGTTCAGGATCTTGATTGCGTGTGGGGAGCACAACTGTTTTGCAGTCTCCTCTATGTAGTAGTTAATTTTGCCCGTAGAGACGTAATGCTTTTCTCTGGCCTCTTGATTTTAGATTCTTTAATGTTTGTGAAGTACTTAAAGTACTCAAAATGCTTAGACATGGGCCTGCACTGCCAAAGCTAACTGGCAGCTTCGTATGTTGCCATATGTTAGCTCATTCCAAATTACAGACCTAGTGTGTTCTCATAGCTTCACACAACTGTTAAGCTGAAACAAAGTCCTACACAAATAAACTGAATGTTTTGTCCAACACGCTCTTACACAGGGAAAAATGGTCTTTTTCACTGTTACATTTGTTTGATGTAGATGCACCACATTTTGGTTTGTTTCTTGTTAGAGCCAGTGAGATAAATAAGCCAATACTTACTCCTCCTTGGTCCTGTGCATCATATAACACATACAGAAATGAAGGCAGCAGCCCAGAGCCCAGTTTCTCAAGCAATCCGCTCTAACCACAGCACAACTCTCCAGGGTCCTCTTGGTTATCTTTTAGTGGTGGCCACGTGAAGCTAGATGAGGAGACGGACCTGGGCTATGTGGAGAACGGGACGCCGTGTGGGCCAGACATGGTGTGTCTTGAGCATCGCTGCCTCCCCACCGAGGCCTTCAACTTCAGTACCTGCCCAGGCACCACAGACAGCCAAATCTGCTCCGGACACGGTGTATGTGCTTGTACTCTTTAATCCTTTTTTCAGTTTTTGCTGAGTATCTGGCGTTGTGTAGTGTGCTAGCTAGACTTTTTAGGAAGCCAGCCGTGTGACTCTAGAAGTCTTTATACTGGAGAAGCTTCTCAAAATGAAAGGGGGAGGAATCATATAAATAAACATAATGCATACCAGTCAAGGCTTCTTAAACAATAAATCACAGTAAGTATATATTAGTTTTGCAAAAACTTTATCAATCTGTTCTTTTGCTACCTCTTCTGCTAATGCAATTGGTATTTCCTCAGGCAACATACTGGAGAATATAACGGTCTAAGAACTGAGAAACTTGGATCTCTGTTCTTCCAGATACTCTTTTAAATTCCTTTGTATTGTGGCAGAAGTCACATAAAGGTGTTGGATTGTGTTGGCTTGGAGTTTCTTTGCTCTAGAGAAGAGGGCAGTGAACTGACTCTTGACTAGTGGCATTTTCTCCACTCAGTACATAACCTGTGGCTTTTCTGTGGCCCTGGGGAGTCTCATTGTTCCTCACACAGTTTAAAACAGTGTCCAGGTCTCTATGGCTGAGCTGAGATCAAAGGAGTTGTTCTCTCATAACATCTTGTATCTTTTACATTACATCAAAACTCCCTTTTTTCATCTGAAATTAATCATTTTGTTATATTTTGAACAAAACAAAATAATTGAGGTTCAGAGTCTCCCAAAGCAATTATAAAATGTATCTATTAAATATATTACATTAAAAAGATATTAATGCACTTAATGTATGTTACATATATTTGTATATAAAGTATAATGATACATTTATATCTAATACGTAAATTAAAGAATTGCAGTATATGAAAAATGTTATGCAAAATTTTGCAGGCAGTCAAAATCAGTGCTTTATGAATGACCTATACAGTTGATATTAATTATGGAAATAGACTGATTTTATGATTTCATTCTGAGCTACACTTTTGGCTGCAGGTTTGTAGCAATGAAATAAAGTGTGTCTGTGACCGTTTCTGGGGAGGAGAGGACTGCAGTTCTCATATCAAAGATGATATATATTTTGATAAAGATGCCATGAATAAAGGTACGTTGTTCTAACTTTTACAAATAACTGGAAAAGCTTGGATTTGAGGAAGGTTCGTTAAGCACAACTAGATTTCCTACTATTTTGGTTAGCAAGCGACATGATGCACCATTAGGAGCTTTGTTCCCTTCCCTTCTTTCCCCAGCAAAAGCACTCAGGGTCTGTCACTGAGGTCTTACACCGGGGCTGGATATGAGTGATGCTGCTCACGAGCACTCAGTACCCGTCTTGGGACTGGTACCAGCGTGCCTGGTTTTGCCTTGCTTGTCTCTTACTTTTCCCAGTCATCTGAGTGGCCTTATTAAGTGTATTGACAGATTAAGGCAAGCAAAATGTTGCTAAGACTTTTCATACCTCAGTGGAAAGGTAGTATTATTTACATGACTGTTTTTATTTGTAGAGTAATTTTCTTATTAATTGGCAAGTATGCAGAATGTTGCCATGCAAATTTTAGGCTTCTACATTTTTTGAGTGTAAGTTTTTATTCATCTTTAGTCTTGTATACAAGAGAAAGATCTGTTGTGGAAAAATGAGTGTGTGAATGTTTTTCATTATAAAACCTTGTTTTATTATCTTCCAGGGATTTGAGCAAAATCAAAAAAAAAAAGTCAATTATTCCAATGTAAGCACATGTTTACCTGGCAGGCTATGAGTGTGTAAGCTACAACAGTTTAGTATTGATAACGTTATATTGGCGTACCTGGCACAGCTTTCCTAAGTAGCCAGTGGTCAGGAAAGGGAAATTGATGCAGAAGTCAAAGCTTAATTTACAAATGACCTTTTTATGGCCATGCTATACATAACAATTATATCACTGGTTACAGTTAATCAGCCTAGTGCAACTTGTCCAAGCAGGTTTTGAAAGACAGTGCATTTACTGGGTTTGTATATTTTTTTTCTAAAATCCTGTATATTTTCCCCTTTCTTGTGTTTCCAGGTGTCGTTAGCACAAATATAATAATAGGGGCTATTGCTGGCACCATTTTAGTGTTGGCTCTCGTTTTAGGAATAACTGGTTGGGGTTACAAGTAAGTAAATTGTGTTCTTCTTAATACAGTTAAAAGTATGTTTATTTCATCCAATAGTTTTTTTTGTTATGAAAAGCACAATTCAAACATAATCTAAAAAATCCAGATTGGATTATGTTTATACACTGACATTTTTATAACATTAGCACTTTTCAAGCAGTTCTTACACGGTATGTGGTTTTGGAGAGCTTGATCCAGGTTTGAAATTTATTTATTATTTAGTTATTTTCTTTTTTTTCATAGGTGATCAGATTATGATTTCACTGTATCTGACAAAAGAAATACAAGAATGCAGTCTGATTCAATTATGAATCTCTCCTAATGACAAAATAAATTTAGCAAGATGTGTATATTCACTCAGCTTAACCTGAAATTAATTCAGGCATGTTTTTCGATAGGAGAGAGAGAGAGAGATGTGTAATTTGCAAATAAGGTGCAAGTTCTCTCCTGATATAGAGCTGTCAGTGTTCTGCTCACTGAGAAGCAAAATAGATTATTTAAGTCTGACCGATCCTTTTCAGTTTTTCTCCTTTTGTGAGTTTATTCTAAAAAACCCACGAGGGTTTAGTTTTTTTGCACCTGTGTTTGGGTGAGATGGGCTCTTGAAGTCCTTCCTCGGCAGGAGCGTGGCGTTCTTGGAGGGCAGGGCAGGTTCAGCTGCGGGCAGCGCTGTGGCTGAGACACGTCCCCAGTGGTTTGGCATAACAAACTGGAACATCCCCTGCTGGTTTCTTAGACTGAGGTAGGCTGAGGGCAGCTCAGAAGTACGTAGGGAGAGAAGCCTTTGGAAAAAAGCATGAAGATTAGGATAGTAAAAGGGTAGGTTTTGCGGTCGTGGTCTATGACCCTCAGCTTCTGGCAGTGTCGGAAAATCTGGACTTCTGGTTTGGGTACAACTCCAGAAGTCAGGGGCTCAGTTTGAGATCACATCTAGCCAGTGGGTTTAGTTTTTGGAAAGGGAAGGCAAGAGTGCACATTTCATTAGCAGCTTCACAGTGAATAGGCTTAAACTCATCGTGAACTGCACCTCCAAATCAGCACTGACTTTAGCCATCAACATGAATGTATTTTCCTTGTTTATTCTGATTTAGTGTGTTAATTTCAGAAGCATGTTCTATTTTGAGCAAATTTTAATTCCGCATTTTTTTTCTCTTACTGGCCATATATATCTGCATACTGATAACTCATTCTTCTTTCTTTCTCTTCTGTTTGTATTGAAAGGAACTATAGAAGACAGAGGTATGTGGTAAAAGTAATAGAATGTATGTTAGAAAGTTCTGAAAATAGCTTTTCTTCTCTCTTTCTCATTTATGTGCTATAAAAAAATATAATAATTGCTGTATTTTCTATAAGGAAAATATAGTGATGACTTAGCATATTTTAAAGAATATTTACTTGAATATATAAAATATTTTTTCTATAAAGGCATTGCTTGAAATACTGATTTCACTGGCCTCAGGAGCAAATATAATGTTTACTTCTGAGATAGGCCATTTTATTTAGGAAAACAGGAGAATATTTCCCATAAGAGAGACTGAAAATCTGCTATTAGAGATGAAAGTGTTATTGAGAGGCTGAGAATTGAATAATTAATATTAACATGATGTTCAGGAACCTTCTGAGATGAATTCATTCCTGGAGCTTCTTTGCAGTTAAAAATACAATGCATTTAAATTGCTGTGCCAATGAAGAGTCCATTCCTTCCTTCCTCCCTGCTTGATTGATGTGTAGCTAAAGCACAGTACCACCTTCAGCACACGGCTGAATTTTCACCCTTTGCATCTTGTGGGCAAAACCCAAACAATTCCTGGTTTGGCTCCTGGAAGACCACCTCCCTTTCATCAGTCATTTGCTTGTCAGACTCGTTTTCTGGAAGGAGTTGGCTCCTTCCTCTCCCGGTCCCCCACAGATAAGACGGTTTCTCAAATTCTCCTGTTTTCTGCCTGTATCACCACCTCCTGGTCCCAGCTGCCGCTTTGTTTGTTACCGCTGTCTGTTGTGCTTGTTCTCCATTTGCCCTGCCTGCTTTCTCTGCCAGGCTCAAAATACTTGCAAAAAGCAGAAGAGCTCCACCGAATGCGGGTTGTGTACTACAAGGTCAGACAGGTGGCAGGAACGGTAGCAGAAAAAAGGCAAAGCTATTGAAGACAAGCCTTACGGGCAGAATTCCAGGGTTTATGGCTGCTTAGTGGTACAGGATGTATCTACAAACACAGACTAACATAGTGATCAAGTCACTCTACTGTGGGTGTTTGGTGTCGGCTGAGGACAGAGCAGCCAGAACTTCAAAATACGGAAAGAGATGACCGCATACATGTTTGCACTGGAATATTAGTGAATAACTTTTTCAAATTCCCTTATCTCCAGAAAATAGAAGATGGACAGAGAGTCATAAATATGCAGTCAGTCTGCAGCTGTGTCAGTGGGCACGGACAGATAGGAGACCAGCATAACCTGAGGGTTTTGAAGATGCAGAAAATGAAGTTGTGTACGCAGACTTCTAAGTAGAATAATTTTGAATATGTACGAGGAGTGCTTTATAAATGGAAAAAACCAGACATCCACCAGAGTGTCCTTTTCTTACTTTTATTTAGTTGTTCACAATTAGTCCTTAAAAAAAGATGAAAACAAGCCATTGAGGTATTTTTGAGAAGGAATAATAGTTGGTAGTACGAAGCAACTGAATTGAGTAAACTGAAAATAATAAAAACAATGAATTAACAAGGATGCTGCCAGCTGTGATGGTGCAGCCTAAAGGGCACAGCTACATGGGAGAAGTCATTTCTGAGGGGTTAATGAGAGGACAGTTTGTTGGAGGAACCCTGGGAAGCGGAGCTGCGCACACTGAGTCACCTCTGAATATAATGATGTAGTAACTGAAGAATGGGACAAGAATCAAGACTCAAGAGGTGTTAGAAGAAATAGTGGGGAAGTACTGCATTATACTAATGATTTATGAGCCATATAATTATCTATTTTAAATACTTCAGGAGCATTAGAAATTCATATGTTGAGTGAAGGGAGCACAGACCAGGTCTATAGTTGGACACTATAGGAATATGAATCAACCCTCTGATGAACGCGCATCTTAATAGGGGCAGACTGAAGCAAAAAGGCCTTGGAAAATGCAGACTGAATAGGTAACTACGTTGCTGGTAGTATGATACAGCCAACATTCAAAGTAGGCACTTGTACTAGGGAGGATTTTTCAACTTGGTGGAACTGTGACTGTGATATCTGCACAAGCCTTTTGGCTGGAAATGAATTCACCATATGTAAAAAAGGTTGTATAACTTAATTAGGACTTTCTAATGCATAGATAATTTTGTGCATCAAAACTGAGCTTCTAGTAATGGAAAAGGATAAACTATTGTCAGAAGCATGTGGCATTTCTATGTGTCTTGGCAGATTGAATCTATTTTGGTAATTGGGAGAAGCTGAGAACCTCTGACACTGGCGTTAGGTCCCCTGCACAAGAGAACAGTTAATAAACTGGAGGATCTTCTCCTCTGAGGTTTAAACAAATCAACAGGTTGCTACTCAAGAATTCAGTAAGGATCACAAAAATTAAGTGGAAAGCAGAAGGAAAAACGCATTCAGTTTCCTGAACAACTTTTGATCCAGGCATGCATTCAGCTCAGGCTGCAGTAGTGGTGCTGCGCCTGGGCATGCTTTTCACAACCAGAGCGATGAACCATTTGAAATGTCTGAACTTGGTTATCCAATGTCTCAAACCCACAAACTCTTCACTTTGCAAACTATGATCAGAGTTTATCAGTGAAATGTTTCTTGTTTTCCCCTACCAAAACCACACAATCCACTTTTCTGCACATATCAAAAGTATGCAGGAGTTTTCTCTCAGACGGTTGAATTATTTATTAATAGGTTTATTCTGTGTGGTAGCAGTTTCCTCAAGGATCGTTAGCCTTGCCTCTTTCTTTTAAACTAATATTTGTGCATGTTTGTGTGCGTGCTGGTGCCTGTCATGTTTTCTGACTCTACAATGTTTATTATGCTTTAGACAAATACCCCAGGGAGATTATGTAAAAAAGCCTGGAGAGGCCGACTCTTTTTATAGCGACATGCCTCCTGGAGTCAGCACAAACTCTGCATCTAGTTCTAAGAAGAGGTCTGCTTTTCTGTCGCATTTTCAGATTTCTACCTGTTCCATCACCCATTATTCCATTAGTCAGAACATTTCATTGTTTTGCAGCAGGTTTGATTCTTTCTTCTTTCTTTGTGGAATGTTTGAAATAGCATCCTTTGTGCTTTGATTACTGATTTTTCTCATGTGCCCTGAGCTGCTAATTATGGCAAATAGGCTAGAAAAAACAAGTTTTGCACTGTAAGCCAATTTTCGGCTAATCAAATTTTCATCATCTCCCTGCTTGAGAATTGTTTTCAAGTAGAATGTAATAATAATTTCTGGCTCAAAAAATAAATAAAACACCCACAGTTTTAAAAATCATGATCATGTAATCAAAGAAAAGGAACACTGTCTTGCTTCAATAATAGTTATAAACATTAACTGTTCAATATAAATGTTATTTTTATATCTTTAATTGTCAGTGTCATGAATTTTCTGAGGTGACCTAGACTTCTGAATAATATTCTTGCTGTCTCACATTAAAGGTGATGGTGCTTGCGTTTAGTTCCACTTGCTAGACTAGTATACTAAATGGTCACCGAATGTTGTTGTAGCATATAGTTCTACAAAGACCTTCTGTCATTTTGTGCTTCCTTGTATGAGTAACCAAGGAGGACATTAGATTTTGCCCTGGATCAGATTTTTGCAATTCTGCTATTGTTCAAGTTACTTTAAAAAACCTCAACAACATTTTAAAATGGAAAATTCATGAAAAGCATTGAGAATAAGGTATAATTGCAGAGATCATTAGGTCACGCTGCTCACCATCCCTCTGCAGTTAGAGAGCCTTTAATTATGAAAATCTCTAGCTAGCACTTAAAAACAATTTACAAGAAGCATTGTGTTGTAGGAGCGATAGAGAACCCTGAGCTACTGCATAAGAAAACTGATATTCTCAATTCTGGTCTCAATGAGCAGTCTATAACTGTGCAGTTGATGGAGCCGTTTTCTTTGCTGTTGTTTCAAAAAAATTAAAAAGAAATGTGTGGAAGGGATACATTTGCAGTGACATTTGTTATTTGGGTATAGCAACTTGATCCTAATAGGCAACTTCATCCAGTCTGTTCTAATGAATATGTTATTAGGAAAAACTGTAGTAGTGATTAATTAATGATCTGTAATTTTTAAATTCAGCTTTTGAGATGTGTGAGGGGATAAATTATTTTTTTTTCAGAGAGCAAGTATTAATTTTAAATGATGCACTGTTTATGTTGGAGAATCTTTTCTCATTTGGATAAAATTTTGAAAAAAGTCTTGGGAAATTAACTTTTCATAGCTTTATGTATGCAGGTTCAAAAAAAGTTCTTTTAAAAATGAATGTGTTTCTTTCAATATCTGTGTTTATTTTCATCCTTCATTTCTTTCATTTGTCTCTGTTTCTTATTTGTTCCAAAAAGCTAATGGTTTCTAAGGTCTGTCTGTACTAGAGAGTTTTGTTGTTCCCCACCACCAGTTCAGGTATGTTGTGCCACTGTCAAGTCTCGAAAAGTAAGAAGTCTGACAAATATTCCATTAACATTATGGTGGAGCTGACATAGTCCTTCCATTTGAATTCCTAGAGTACTATTCCCTACTTTCCAAGCTGGTTTTGATTTGCTCTGTGTGCAGATAAGGGTGGTATCTCTTGGGCGATGTTAGGGTGACTGGGCCATTAGCTGCCTGGGCTTCTCCGTGCTGGAAGACGCTATGAAGTGTTAGTTGGTATTCAGAAGATGTTCAAGGGTTAAAACATAAATTTATAATAACTCTTGCTATTATGAAATACAATAAACACCAAACCCAGTTTATAGCAAGACATTGCTGAATCTGAAAATAGACCTTTAACAGGAGGAAATGATTAAGAAATCTGTCAGTGGATCTGTTGGTTCTCAGAGCTTTCATGCTGTATTTAAGTTTGAATTAACAAAACCCCGGGCTTACTTCACTGTGGCTGTCATTAGCCTGGTCTTCTGGAAACTGAAGAGCATCTCTGATGCCTGCACTCCAGAGAAAGCAGAGACTGGAAAATGTAAGAGTATCCAGACTTAGAAACTACAGAAATAGTTCCTTTGAGCAATCTTCTTTGTAATAAATAACCCATTTATTGTGACCAGTTTTCAGCTTCCTCTTGCTTTCTTCTCTTTTGGAAATAATTATAGATCTCATGGCAAACAGCTGAGCAGCAGTTCTAGTTCAACAGGAGGAAGCCTATTGCAAAACCCCATGTGTTGGACATCGCCACACACACCTCTGGCTCTTGGAGGGGAAACAAGAGGAAAGATAAACTTTAGTTTGCACCAAGCACCTAGATGTAAAGACTGTTTTTGGCTTTGAGTGGAGCGGTAGAAGTGTATACTGCAGTGACAGGCTGACAAAATACAACAAAGGTTTAAAATTAGCAGAACTGAGGCAGAGTTACCTCTCCACTGGAGCTACCAGCTGTGGGTGGGGGGATGCTCGCCACAGGCTCCTGGGCCCCTGGGACTTGTAGCAGTGGGGTGAGGGAAGCAGTTCAGGCTTTCCTGCAGCAGCACGAGGAGGGAGTGAGCAGCCTGCAGGTGGGATGTGCTTGACTGTGAGACAAAAAAACCCTTCAGACGAGCACTGTGGGAAGGGCATCTTCCAGCTAAGAACTGGGGCACAGCTGCAAATCCAGAGGAGATCTGGTGTGCACTGGCTGGTGGTCGTGCTTTCCACAGCAGACACGCGAGAAAGCAGTGCTAAAGCTTGGTTCTTGAACGTGGACAAACCGATCTGCTGCAGGGACAGCTGCAAAGTGTAACTGCAGGGTTTAACCAGAAATCCCGGGTGCTCTGTTAGTGCAGACAGACCTTAGGCTGTGTTATGTCACCGGCCTCAGGAATGTGACTCTCTGAACTGCTGAGCTAACGTTGATGTGAGACGATACCCTTAACAATAACCGCATCTGAGCCCTCCTATTCCAGGTCAAATGGATTATCTCATTCCTGGAGTGAAAGGATCCCAGACACAAAACATATTTCAGACATTTGTGAAAATGGGAGGCCTAGGAGTAATTCTTGGCAAGGTAAGTGTGAACCTCTGTGCTGGCCACAGTGGAAACCAGCCTCTGGGCCTTTGCTGCTCTGATGGAAGTTTAGCTGATCTTAGGACAGCAGCACGGCTCCTCAAATTGTGTTAATTGTTATGAACCTGGAATCGAGATTTAGCAGCACCCTGCACGGCTAGCTTCTTTGCACAATGCTCTGTCACTTAGAAATAACAATTTATTTCTCCCATTTCTCCAGTGTGAGCTAACATGAAAAAGAGGAAATCTATTCACTCTTGCCAGCTTCTGTGATTTTATCAGGCAGTGTTTAGTGTTTTTCTTCAAGTCTAGTGATTTTCTCAAATGAAAGCTGGAATTAAGGAGTTTTTTGCTCTGCACAGTTGCAGCCAAAAGTAGAGAAAGATCGTCTAAGTGTCAAGTTTAGCTGGACTGAGATAAATCAAGAGTTTCAAGTTGTTTTACTGTCTGTCTTTATCCTTTGATTTCTTTCAGGTAATATAGGAGGAAACAGAAAGAAAGTCAGAGGCAAAAGATTTAGGCCACGGTCTAATTCAACTGAGTAAGTCTGAACTTATAAAAATAAAGCCAAAAAGTACAGTTTTCATATTTGTGTTTTGTAGATGGCGATTAAAAGTACTGAAAAGTAGACAGCTGCATATTTGCTCTGTGGCCCATTCTGATTGCTGATTGATAACCTGGTAAATGGTTTGGCTAATGTATTTCAATCTCTTTTTATGTATTCTTTAAAAATTAACTATCAATTTTCTTTTTTATGTAGGCTTCCTCACTATCGTTCCCATAGCAATTCCCAGTGATGGTGGCAGCCTGCACCATCACTGCAGGCATTTGTCTACAGTAAACTGCCATTGCTGAGTGTATCCTGGTTCAATATTGAATTTCTGATAACCTGTTTCCTACCCTTGTCTTCACCTTGGGTTGGGCCACTGCAGGGTTAGAGATTTGTACCTCTGCATACTTGCCTGCAGGTTTTAGGAGATCTCTCTGCTTTGAGAGTACCCTGAAGTTTATTGTTGTAAGGCCGAAACAGCCAGTCTTGAGCAAGCCCTGCAATGAGTTGGTAATGAGGGTCCTCATCAAGCGACTGATCCCCTAGACCTTTCCACTATGGCTTAGAGTTGCTTTCTTACTGATTTATTGGTTACATTTCCTGAAGAGCCCATGTGTGCTGTCCTTCTCACAGAGAGAGGGCCTTTCATATGTACTTAAGCCTGCTGGTTCAGTCTTCTTTTGTGAATGAATGGTGAATGGCTGGAAACAGAATCTCTGGGCTTGTCAAGCACTTACGCCACTCAGGAATGGCCCCTTCTTCAACCGTGGTGGCAACGACAGTGCCCTTCCCCTGTGTTGATAGCATTAACTTTGCACCTCTGTGGGCAAATGGGCTTGATACCAACCCTGCTGGAAACTAATAATGCTGACTCCTCTCTGGGCCCTGCTTTCTTCGGTTTGGGGATTTTGAGTTTGTTCTGAAACTTTTCTTCCACCTGCAGTGCACTGTCTTGAGGTGAGTAGGCTCAGAAAGGTTCGTAGAGAAGGCCCTCTGTTAAAAGCTACAGAAATAACAATTGGATGCACATTGCAATTATAACATTGCATGGTCAAAATGGCAACATGGAACCAGAAATTTTAGCCCTCAAACCCTTGGAGGAGTTTATCGGTCAAGTGCCCTCGGGCTCTTGGTCTTTTTGCTGATAAATTCTTACAGAAATATTATTTTGCTTGTTTTCTTTTCTTCTTGCATGAGACAATTTGATAAAAGCAAAATTAGTCTGACTAAACTGCCAAGAATATGAGATTGCACGTTATTCTTTAAAAGTGTGTCTTGTGCTTTTCTATTTCTTAAACAAAATTTATTTTTAAAAAAGTTTAAATCATTGATACCATTATTCTGTCATTCAGCAGAGGTGTACACTGGGGCTGAACTGGTGCGTAAAGGATAAAGCCTAGAGTGAATGTCACTGCATGTGAAGAGTATTGTTTTCAGTAAAATAAAAGCAAAAACCCTCAGTGAGCCTATTTTTTCCCCTGTGCTGCTCAACTGCTATATTATATATTTGCTCTGGGAACTTTGGAGCACTAAGTAAGTGGATAGACAGAGAGACAGAGCTTGAGTTGGAAATCTTTTTTCCTGTAAATTTTTTTCTCTTTTAAAGGTGCCCCTGAATTTCTGGCTTTTTCTCTGCTTTGTTCTTGCTGCTCGTTATGGTCTCTCAAGCCAGCAGCAGCCCTGGTGCTGGAGGGTGGAGACTTGTACTTCCCACAGGCTGTGCAGCAGCCTGTTAGGGGTGAAGCACAGTGTGTGTGTTCCTAAGAGAGATCTACCAGGCAGGAAAATGCTCTTTCTCCCAGTGAGGTCTATCCTGGACCGCTCAGGACCACATGGCTTGTCTGAGTCTCCTGGAAAGCCTGGTGCCCCTTGGAAAGAGAGCTCCCAGGGAATGATCCACATGCTGTGTCAGTTTGCTGAGGAGGGGAGAGAATTGCCCAAGGGCTCACAGTGCCTCTGGTTAGAGAGGGAACTTCCTTGGTGAGCAAGGAAAATTGTCTGAGAATGATCTAGCTGTGGCCAGCATTTACTCATCTAGGAAAACAAAAGTAACACCAGCTGCTTTGAGGATGCCCCAGAACACATGGAAGCGTTTCCCAGACATATCTACCTTTTTACTTTATCTGAGAAATACAGAATATTGAAATCTATTTGAAACAGTTGGCAACACATGGAAAATCAATCTGTGCAGAGTCCTAAGGCTTCTGCTAAGGATGTAGTTCTAAGCAGACTGCTAAAGCTCTTTTGGGACATGCTTACTGTTTCTAGATGATTTAAAACAAGATTTGTGTTCTTTACAAAAGGCAGATGGTTCAGTTCACGTAGAAGGAATGCCAACAGGCCAAACATTTCTGCAGCTTTTCAGAAACAGTGTTGATGAAATGACCTGATAAAACAAGTTTTCTATTAAAATCAGAGTTATCCAGGAATGATAATGAGAGTTTTCTGAATAAGCTGACAGTTTAATTGGGAGCTTGTGTTAAAACAGGTCCCAGGGAACGTGCATTTTTCCAAATAACGATTCTGACCTTTCAACACATGGAAAATCAATCTGTGCAGAGTCCAGTGAAGCGTACTTGTTGAGATGGAAGAAAAGGAGTAACACTGATCTCCTGTTAGTAGTAGAGGCAGTTTAGTTAACCACTAGAAGATTGGGTTCATGTGTGCCATACCTTGTGCAGAATGCAAGTTGCCTACAAAAATATTTGACATATGCATGAGTCTGCAGTAAATGCGTATATTATGCACAAGGGTTGTTATGTATACTGCCAAGCACCAGATGAGAAACTAGTGCCATTTATCATTTAATGAAAATTTCTTGAGTGCTAAGCAAGGTTTGAGCTCTGCAGCTCTCACAAGGAGCACTGGCAGAAGGATTGCAATCACATTGGGAAGTTCCCAAAAATTGTATTGCTCTTGCCTTTGTGTGACCCCTCGTACCTAAGGCTTCTGCTAAGGATGTAGTTAATTTGTACTGCTTTCCCTATAGGCATTTGTCTTCCTCGTTGTTAAAACTGATATGAACATCTTTGGCTTAGACTTTCTATTATATATTGTCTTTTTGCAGCAGGGTAACCCATGCATCTGAGCCTGGGCTTTCTCTCGCCCACCAAACCCCGGCCCAAGGCATAAGCCCAGGGGGTTCTGACCACCCCCAAACAGGGAGTCGGGATCACAGGTCAGTCTCACCTGCCCCTGCATTCTGGGCTGCCGTTTTATCCCGTGAAAAATCTTTCCCTCAGTGAACAATAGTTTCACTGTGGCAAAACACTGTGACTGCTTGGAGGTGCTCCTGCTGATGCAGCGCTAGCTAACCTTCCTCCTCGCCAGCCTGAGGAGTACGAGTACTTTTGAGCCCAGGTCTTTTGCCTTGTTGCATGTTGCGCTGCAAGCCAAATCAAGCTGTTGGTCTAGCTGTAGGCTTATGTGTAAGGACACCTGTTTTTTAAAGTGGAATTTCTCACTCAAACAAAATGCAGATTCTGGCCATCGCTAATGAACATGTGGCCAGGAAGATCGGCCTAAGAGCTTTTTAATGGTATCGTATAGTGGTCTGCAGTAACTTGAGTTTATCCTTTCTGTAACAGATGAATTGAGCTGGTGAACGACTGTCTGTAATGCAAGCAGAGCCAGGAAACCCTGCAATACGGTTGTGCAACAACTACATGCTTTGATACCACGTTACACTTTGTTTTCTAACACAGGAAGCCACACTGGGAGTGTTTCATGGTTACCACAAGACCCTTTCAAATTAAAAAAAGCGAATCAAAAGTACTGCAGCGAATGCAAGAAAATCTGTAGTCATACCTCCAGTTAAAGCTAAAGTAGGAGTTTATTAGTTCCTGGTGATGCTGGTGTCAGCCTGTTGTTTCACTGGCAGTTCATCTGTTGCTGCACTACCCCTTTTGACATATTCTTTCTCTAAGAGCCCAAGCAGGAAAGCATAAATCGCTCCTGATTCCTGATAAGTAAGTGAGCTGAGGAAGCTACTTAGAAGCACTTGTGGCTGAGGGCAAGTACTTTCTGAGAGCTGTGGCTGTGCTTGTGCGGGGCGGGGAGGAGAAGTTCCAGAGCAAAAAAGGAGCAAAAGAACTTGAAAAAGTGCCGCCACTTTTGTTGTCAACGTGGTTTGAAATATGGTGGGGGTTGAATGACATGATCTGGCCCAACCTTTACTCATCTGAGCAATCCCTTGGAGGCCTGTTCCCATGTGTGAGGTTATTGGAATCACTGTCATAAACAAGGGTGGTGAGAACTGGCCCAGAAGTGTTGAAAGTAACTTAAAGAGGAATTTTCTTTCCCTTTTCCTTGGTTACAATTTGTTTCCTATTACAGAGTGTGCTAGTCTATTATATAAAGGTGGTGATCACAAATAATTTTTAAAATGCTGTCAAAACAAAAAAACCAGGTTTTAAATTTGACCAGGCAGATTCCTGTTTCTGCATTGCCTTTTCTTCTTAACATGACAGAGCGGGAGGAAGTTGCTAATCTTGTTATCGGGCACTAAGAGAGACCAGTTCCAAAAAAAAAATAAATTTCTTCTTCCCTGGTAATACTGCTGTCAGATAATTCAACACCATCTAGTTGTCGTGTAACTAATATGAGTATGCAGCTCAGATTTTTTTCCTAATAAGTGTGGTTTGGTATCAAGATTGCTTCTGTAAAATGTGAGATAACTGCAGCCCACCTCCATTAAAGCTCCTTGTGGTCCTACCAGATTAAATGATCATTGAAAAATCAGAGGGTTGTTCACATGTAAGTGTAAAAATTGCCACTGTAGTGGCAAACAATTCAAGCCTTTTAACACACCGAGGCCAAAATTCATTCCTGTAGAAAGGGCCAAGCCCAAGTTTCTGTGCTCATTAAGCTGTTTCCATCTTGCCATTTATTCTAGATGGGTACAGATGTGTGTCTTCAACAAGCAAACTGCAGGATTGGAGCCAAAATGCCCTGTATTTCTTATTCTCAGATCATGAGAAGAGTTCAAACCATAAACTTAATGCTAGCCCTCTGCATAGGAGTGAATTTTACCCTTAAGACAGTAAATGAATGATGTATCCCAAAGAGTTTCCGGATTAATCAAACGTATGAGTCTTTTTGTAGGTCAGATTTTCTCATGCAGTTGTACACATTGGCTAGTCCTCACCCAACATCCATACTGATTTATTTGTCATATTCACTTGCATTTTGGGGATGAAAGCATCCTTGCTAAGCTTGTGCTGTGTGTTCTCAGATTTTCTATTCTTGTTCTTCTGCTTTCTCTGTTCCTTCCATTGCTTTCTGCAGGTATTTAAACCCATGGTTCAAAAGAGAATATAATGTAGCTAAGTGGGTAGAAGATGTGAATAAAAACACTGAAGGACCATACTTTAGGTATTTTGTAAATTAATTCTATATAACTTTTAAGAGCTGTTCCAGCATATACAAATATCTTGGGACTCCTACCTTGTATAAATCAATACAAGTTACTGTAGGTGCAAAGGGCTCCTCTTCTTTTGCTGCATTTTAATGTCTGTTTTTGGCTTCATGTGCAATTTATAATTCTTTTTCTGAATGTTTTAATGAAGCCATTGAAAAGGGTGTGTGTAGTGCATGCGTTCCCACCATCATCTATAGCTTGTAGTAGCTTTCTCATCATTTTATGCCAAGTAGTGTTTTATGGGCATGAGACGTATTTATCACTAATAAAGTAGTATTAATTTAAATAGAATGTAATTTACTGAAGCAAATGGTTTCATAACACATTGACTCTACCCACTGTCTAATATAGTGCATACTAAAATTTAAATGAAAAAAGAATAAAACATAGTGGTATTACAATGAAATAATTAATATATTGTAATTGGAAAATTAAATGCATGAGAATATACTCTGTGCTCTATTTATCAAACTACTAATGAATCTGTTACAAGTGAGCGTAGGGGTCAACCAAAAATATTACTTCTTTGTGAGAAGGGAAAGTGTGTATTATTTAACGTATACTAAGTTAAAGAGAAGAAGCATGCATGAGGCTGGCCTTGCTGTAAATGAATCAGGAGACTCAGAACATTTTAGTAGATTCCCCAAAGACACAGTACCACAGCTGAGACAGAAGTTTGTGTCAGCTGAAAAAGTCAGCTAGCACAGGAGGGAAAGGAAGGCAATTTATGGCAATATAAAACATAGAAATAGATGAAGCTTAATTTGACATAGCAAAAATGAATCTGAAACAAGAAAGATGAAGAATACAAAGCAAAATCTTTAGCCAAACAGGGCTGGATGGCAAGAATGAGTAAATGGAATCTTAACACTAATTTTGCTATATTAGTAGACTTAATAACAATGCAAAAGAGCAGAAACAGTCACAAAATAACACCCAGTATACATTTGGGGAAAAAAACCCATGGAGTTGTATTGCAACATGCTAATGAAACCCTTCCAGTAGTAGCACTGGTAGATATTAAATGCTAGAGTGGGAATTCAGTGATTTTTAGAATTAAAAATGCCACAAAAGAGCATAAAATCTGCCACTCTTTTTAAACATTTGTATTTGCTCTCCAGAGCTCTTAAATCACAGAGTAAGTTGCAGCGAGGCTTTCCGATAAACAAAGAGGGCAAATGAGGTAAATTTAAGCCTGACACTCCTGATCTCGGTCCTGAACAAAGAGTGAAAATCCCCAACACAAGAATCCAAGGCTTACGGGAGGATGCTGCAATTGTGCCAGCTGGTATCAGCCATGACTCTGTGCTGCTGCTTGGACATTCAGGCAAGATGTGTTGAGACTCTGGTGGTTTTACCATTGCTGGCTTGGGATATAGGGTCCAGTTCTGGTGTCTGGAGTTCAACAAGCATGTTCAGGAACCAGGGGGGTTTAAGCCCGAGAAGCCTTAGAAGGGACTGCAGGGCCTCAAGCTGTTCAGTTTAATGGGGCAACTAAATGCTTACCTGATCATAAAATCCATATAGCTGCATATGGAGCAAAATCTTGGTGGGATGTCTTTTAGACTAGCAGACTGGGTCTGATAATGACCAAGAGTCACTGGAAGGTGAAATTAGGCAAATTCACACTAGAAGTGAGGTGCGTTTTTATTAGAAAGCCTTTTCCTAAAAATACCCTCTTGACCTTTGTTGTTCAGACAAGGCTATCAGTCACCCACCATAGCCTAACCCCATAACTGTCTTTTAGGGTGTTTGTATTGGAAGCCTTAAGGTCAGAGTACAGACAGATGTGGATGGAATATGAAGATAGCACTAGTTTAAAATGTGTTACTTTAAATGCTTTAGTTAAACAGGTTTAAATTCCTGTGTGGATACCCTTAACTTTGTTTTCATCTTCTAATATCAGCATGTGCTGCTTTAGTAGCTAGATTAATTTGATGGGAGTGTACCCCTCCCCTCAGGGTCTTCAACTGTTGCACTGAATGAGTCACATTTCTAATTGTATTTGAGATAAACTGAGCATTTTTTGCATGTAGATGAGGTTTATGCTGACCCATGTGAGTTTTAAGGGCTGTATATTGGCAAGAGATGAAACATAAATTAAAAATTTTACACCGTAGAAGCTTACTAATCACTGCCTGCAGCAGTAGCTTTAGAAATGAGAGAGAAATAAGAATAAATTTAGAAACTTGAATGTCCTAATTAATTGAGGGAACCCTAGGGAAGTATTCTGCAGGCACATTATGGCAGGCAAAGGACCAAATCTCCTGGCATGAGTTACCACAGCCTTCGGAGGAGTTGAACTGAGCAGTTTCTCCCCCAAAACTCAGGTGCAATTTTGGTTAACTCACAGACAAGAAAACATTGTTGCTAATAACCATGTGTCCGAACATCATACTGCTGTGTTTGAGCCTGTGAAGTGGTTCACTGTCGTGGTTTGACCCCGGCTGGCAGCCAGAGACCCACACAGCCGCTC